AGGGGAGGGGAGGGGAGGGGAGGGGAGGAGAATGTAAAAAATACTAGAAGAAAATGTATTCACCTATCTTTGCAATATAAGTCAAAAAGGCTTTCTACAAGATATAACCTGAAAATTATAAACTGGAAAGCAAGAAAGAAAGAAGATGTGAATATACGAAAATGTAATTTTACCAACAACTAAGAGCATTACATATAATTTTCATAGATGACAAGATAACCAACAAAAAGAGATGTCAACTGGTGTGGAAAATGAGCAAGGGACATGAATACGCAATAAACAGATGAACAAAGCCAGGGAACTAGCTCAGTTTCACCGGAGGTGGAATATCCTTCGGGACCACACAAAACTTAAGACTATATTGTGTCCCTGGAGCTCACTAGCCTCTATTTCCTCATCTACAAAGCAGTGCAAAAATCCCCATCTCACAAGGTGTCATAAGGAGTAAATACGCTAATGCATACAATACATCCCTAGTGCCTGACACATAGTAGATGGTCGTTTAATGCTATCTATTAAGAGCTAGTACTATAAAATGCTCATTGTAGATAATGCATACTGCAGAGAAATAGTTAATGTAGAGGTCCAATGGCTTTCAATAATCCATACTTCAAGGATGATAAATATATCCTGACTTTTTTATATCAAATACCTCAGTGAGTCTGAAAATTTTACTGTAACACTCTTCTATTACCAATTTTTGAAAAAAAATCCAATTATCATACTGCGGGCACCCCTCTTCATATACATCAATTACCTCCCTTGTTCTTTAAAGGTTAAAGAATTTACTTAACCTGCTCTCTTCTGGATATTTATATTATCTCCAGTTCTTTACTATTATTACCAATGCTCCAATTAACTTCTCTATTGTAAAAATATGTTGCACATTGGGGCAAATTGTTGGGGAAGAGATAATCCCCTTTTAAAATTCCCAAAACATATTCCAAAATATACCTTATAGAAATGACAGAACCAAATGACATACCCACCAAAAGAATCGTCTCACACAGAATCTTTCCAGCCATCGGCACTTAAGCAGGGAGAAGCAGATCCAAAAGTTACAGCAAAGCCAAAAGCCACAGGTGAACTGGCCGAGAGCCTCCATTCACTTGCTCCCATTCCCCACAGCTCTTGGATCCCATATAGAGATGAAGCCTTGTATGGTCTTCCGTTTACTCCGCTTGGCATCCATCTCTCTTGTCCTTGTAACTTCTAAAACTTCCCTCTGGGAAACGACCCTGCTCCGCACTCTTTAAAATTGCCAGGCATGGTGAGTTGTTTCCCGAGGGTGGGCCCAAGCCTGATTAACTTGATGGTAACTTTCCTGACAAGTGAAATCTTCTGACAGGTGAGGCAAAGACCACAATATTATCCAGAAGATCGTTTTCCTTGGCTCCTGGCTTCTGTGTCCTAGAACTGGCCTATTTGCAAGACTGTCTTCAGCTCTTTCTCTTCCTATGAGTTCTGCTGCAGCCCCGTATTTCCTCACTGCTGTACAGTTGCTTCTGGCTAAGTATGCCAGAACTGACTGCAGATGCTCTAAAACAATCCTTCCTGATTAGGGGTACAGGGTTTTTTTTAATATATGCTCAAATATATTAAATTCTTGAGGAGATAATTCTATTTCCAGGCATAAAGGCCTTCTAGCCTATCAGTAACTGTGACCCCAAACTACGTAACATTTTTTTAACATTCCAGAGGCGTTTTAAATTTCCTTCCCCCACCCCCTTTCCATTTTATGCATTTGGTACCGGGTCTCATTACACAGCTCAGACTCCTAGTGATCCTCCTGTTTTCAGCCTCCCAAGTGCTGGGATTACAGGTGTGCACCACCACGCCCAGTCACAATAGAAGTCTCAGAGCACCCCAGGGGTGGGGCCAGCATGGCATGCCGGGGATCAAACCCTGGTCCCTGTGTCTGCCTAAGCAGGTACTTTAATCTGCTGAGGTATCTGGCCGGCCCTAAATAACATTTTATACTCCTGGTAAAATACGTATATATGTATATATGTATGTATGTATGTATTTTGTATTTAGTACAGGGTCTCACTACACAGTTCGGACTCCTAGTGATCCTCCTGTTTTCAGCCTCCCAAGTGCTGGGATTACAGGCGTGCACCACCACACCCAGTCTCAACTGATGTCTCAGTGCACCCTTAGGGCAAGGTGGGGCTGGCATGGTATGGCATGGCAGGCCTGGGATAGAACCTGGCCCGTGTCTGCCTAAGCAGGTGCTTTAATCCATAGAGCTATCTGGCCAGCCCTTGGTAAAATATGTATTTTAGAGAAAAATGAAAGGGAAAAAATTATGTTATATAATGGCTTGAAGGAAGGGAAAGGAGGAGAGGGGGAAGAGAGGAAGGGAGAGAAAAGAAAGAGAAAGCTAGAAAGCTAGTTCATCCTTTGTCCCTCTAGAGAGGCCCTGTTCTACTGACTTTCGTGATATTACTGAAATTCATTGTAGGGGCACTTCTGGCTTTTTCTCCAAGTGGATTCACAAAGAAAATCTGAGGCCAGGAGATGGGATTTTCCTTGTAATTTAGTAACAGCCTAGAAGGAATTTGCTTTTTCTTATATGCACCAAGGACATAATCAGTCCAAACTCTTCATCAGCAGGAGTTTGATTTTAATTGCATCACCTTTACAAGGTTACAGTGGTCTTGGAAATGACTCACTGGAGCATTCTGAACCTGCAGCAGGGTAATGTGCTCGCCACTCCAAGGAGGCTGCTCAGGGGCAATTCTACCATAGAGGAGCAGTATGTATTCACCATCTCAACTCTTAAAACTCCAAAGAAAACAGTAAGCAGTCACCGTTGCTTCCTCTCCAGTCCTCTGGCCAGGCTGTGTAGGAGACAAGGGCAACTTCGGCTTTGCCACAGCATAAGGCCCTTCAGGTATTGCTGGATTAAGTGACTTTAAGTAGTGAGTAGAACTACAGTTTCAAGACATGAGATTAATTGAGATAATACACACGAGGATGCTATGTGAAGTGTGATTCAAATGTAAGGCATCATGATCTTGGTGATCTTGCCAGTCTGCTCAGTGAGCGACCTCTGAAGTCCAGAGGAAAGCCAGGGTGCAAGCATCCTTATGAAATATTTAGTGCAAGTGCTGACTCAACATGCCCACAGCGCCTCCTGGTGGTTAGTCTCTGGAGGAGCACCTTCTGAAACCCCATTCCCCCACCCTGGTTATACAAAGTACCAAAGCATCATACTTACTCCCTTCGCTCTGACTGTCTTTGTTCGAATTGTAGACCTACAAAACAGAAAATAAAATATTACTTGGGTACATTTCATTTATTTTTATTCCTTTATTGGATATAGGGTTTCACTAAACAGTTCAGACTCCTAGTGATCCTCCTGTCTCAGCCTCCCCAGCACTGGGATTACAGGCGTGTGCCACCTTGCCCAGTTTCAGGGGCCAGCACAGCACACCTGGCATTCCAAGGCCAGAACAGCACATGGTACCAGAGATTGAACTCAGGTCTTTGTGCTTGCCAGGCTGGTGCTTACCAAGCTATCTCCCCAGCCCTATTTGGGTACATTTCATAGCACCCTACAAGTTCACTATTTAAAACTATTACGGGGGCCAGGGAGATGGCTCAGTGGAATAAGCACTTCCCAGGCAAGTGGAAGGACCTTAGTTCAATCCCTGGTTCTGCAAAAAAAAAAAAAAAAAAAAAAAAAACTACTATGTTTCCATTTTTCTTATTGTGTACCATGAGATGAAAGAGGATTTCTAGCCTGAGAATATGAACCCTTTCACCAATGATCCACTTACTGCTATGTGCTTCAGCTGTTCTTAAATGTGCACACAGCACCCATGAAACTTTATTGCAGAAAAAAATCACATTCAATCTTTTTTTTTTTTGGGGGGGGGGGGCAGAACCAGGGATTGAACTCAGGCCCTTGCACTTGCCAGGGAAGCACTATTCTACTGAGCCATCTCCCTGGCCCCTTTTCATTCTTTTTTTTAAAATCTTTTTTTTTTTAAGCAAGTAAATTTGTGTGTGTATACAATCAAAAAGGAGAGAATTTTAAAATTAGCTATAAACCATTGAGCATTAACTGTGCACCGAGGAAAAGTGCTAAGCAATTCACACAAATGATCTCGCATAATCTACACAACAATGCTGCCTGGCAGGAGCTGTGATTATCACTGTTTCACAGCTGGAGAAGCTGAGGCTTAGAGAGGTTACCTGAGGTCTCACAGCTCCAAAGTCAGGGCAAAGGCACATGAATAAACCGTGAGACTTAACAGGTAGGGAATGAGATCAGCCACTTCTTACTCCATATGCCTCTGTAAATTTGTTATGAGTAGACAATATTATATTTATAATAAAAAACCCTTAAGTGATTTGTGGAATCATAAAAAGAAAAAGCAACCCAATACAATAAAAAGCAAAGTACATCAATATAAAAGCTTGCTGCATGGGTCAGCAAGCATTTCTACAAAGGGCCAGAGAGTAAATATTTTAGGAGTTAAGGCCAAGAGCCAAATCAATATTGCACAAGTTCTTAGATAACAAGAGAAAATTAATTTTCACAGAATTGACAAAATTCTAAATATAACAATAGTGGAAATTTTTGAAATACAAGTCTGCTAATTAGATGAATACTTTTTGTTTGCTTGTTTAAAGGGAGGATGCCACTTAGCTCAAATGGAGTGCAAAGCTCGTGTTCCTTATAATCAGCCAATTGCAAGTGTGCATCCACATATACTACACATGGCTCATGCACTAGACAGAAGCAATGGGGTGCTGGATGTGTTCAGTGAGCTATAGTTTGCCTATCCCTGATACTCTGTCACTATTAAATAAGACGAAACTTCTGCTTAAAAGACAAAAAATAGTGCCCAAACCTTATTTGGTAGTTAAAATTCTACAGGTATTGAAAGCTACAGGGTAGTGATGGCAAATCTTTCAGTGCTTTCAATGATACAAATGGCCTGCTGAGGCCCCGTACGAAAGGCTCACCACCCAGCAGTGATAGCCACAACGTAAGCATCTATCCATTTATCCACCCCAAGTGATTCTGACAACCACTCTGAGCAGAAAGCCACTTAACCTCTAAAGGAACCACGCAAATCACCTCTGAAAAGAAAGCCACTGAGTATGGAAAAGACCTTTCCCTGCTAGGAAGCATGGATAGAAATGACAGGCCAGGAGCTGGGCAATGGGTCCAACTCTGCCACAGCTGTCTCACATCAGTGGGTAAGGTTCCTACGCTCCCTGTGCCTTTATTGTCTACTCTGTGAAATGAAGTAGTTGCCCAAGAAGGTCTCTGAATTATAAAACTCTAAACACAGAAAATAACTGTCAATATTTTTTCACTTTCTAAAGAAGACTGAAACTGTACTCACTGATTGAAGGTTAGAAGGCTTTGGATTAAAGAAATAGGTTTCTCGTCTTAAGGAGGATGCTCTAATGAATAAACATGCAAAAGTTCTAGAGACTCTGATTCTGGCCTACGCTTCACCACCGGTCATGTCACACGGCTGAACATTATTTCTTCATTTACAAAAGGGAGGTGATGATGGCCATCCTGCCTATCTCTCCCAGGACTGCTCTGAGCATCACTAAGCATGTGAAAGAGAAATGCTTGGAAACTACAGAACCAATGCAGTACTTTGGGCTCTACTACTGGGAAAAGAACTGCTTGACTGTCGTGGAATTTGAGAGAAGGGCAAAAGGCACCACAAAGTTCAGGCAGAGGCTGACACAGAAGTTGTGTGAATTTCTGCCTGGAACATAGAAAATACAGGTGCCTACTTTCTCTCAGCAGCATCTTTATTATGTGTATAAATGAAGAACTTGAACTAGCTTGTGGTTCTCAAATGGAACGTCAAAGTACCTGCACAAGGATCCCCAAAGAAGCGGGGAAAAGGCCCCTATCTTTTGTTTCTATGGGTTTTAGTCACACAGTTGTCAAACAACAGGATGCTGGCTTTGAAAAGTCTAAAGAACTCTCGAATGGGTAATTCCTAATGTTACTTGAAATTTGTTCATTCACGTATACATTTAACAAATACCAAGTACCTATAATAACCAGGCAGTGCCTTAGGTACCGAGGATACTGGTCAATACAATAGCTATGAACTTTCTCATTAGTGAAGAGAAATACTTGTACAATTATGATATCTTCAAATATTGATGTACAACTGAAACAAAAAGGGGTATTATGTGTCTGATGTGGGGGAAAGCTCTTCTGAAGAGCTGGAGTTTGCACAAGACCTGAGATGGGAAAAGGCTTGGCCTTTGGGAAGGAGGAAGGTCAGTGTGGCTGGCAATCACAGCAAGGCAGAGAGAGGCAGGAGAGGAGGACAGGCAGGGGGCAATCACCTGCCTGCAGTGCCTTGTGACTCATGAGTGAAACAATAGCCAGGTAACAGCTCAGACCAGCGATCCACAATGACCAGCATTGAGTAGCATTGGAAAGTTGAATGAGAAAAAATAAAGGAAAAGATCCTATTTGGACAAGTATTTTTTTCAGCTATCCTTAATCACTGTACTTCTCCCATTAAATTCAAACATTCTGTCCAAGAAAAACTTGTTCCTATTTATAAATGGCAAAAATCTAGAAAGAAAGAATAGCAAAACACAAGGCTGTCAGCCCTTCTTAATTAGGAGGTGAGTTCATGCCAAATTACTTTCTTTCAAGGTTTCCTGGGTCTCATGAGTCCCCTCCCTGGAACACCCAAGCATTCCCTGAATTCAAGAGATGTAATCAATGAGCCAAAGATGCCAGAAACATGTGCTGCCCAATCCTGGGGGGCTCGGGCATTAATCTCTGTCTGATTTGAGTAAATGAGCCAAAGAGAATGAGTTTGAAACAAGGCTAATAAGCCGTATTTGCCAGGACTACATGACCCAAGACAGAAGGCCTCACCACCACAGAGGCCAGCTGGAGGCATGACAACAGCACTAAGCAGGAGTGCCTTTGTTTGCTGAGCACTTATCTAATGCCACACATGACAGTATCTAATACTTGTAACACCCTATGGGTTAAATCTAGTGCTATTCTGAGGCTCACAGTTTATCCAAGAACAAAGAACTAGTAAATGGTATACAATCCTAGCTACTACAAGAATATTCACATCCCCTCTTACCTGTCTAGATAGTAGCAAACTCACACAATTACGCAGTATGCCAGTAGTTGGTATTATGGTTTATAAATACCTTCTATATTGGCAGAAGTAAAAGGCATCTAATTCACCCTTTGGAACTGGTTAGTCTGCTGTAGGCAATGTTTCTTACATAGATCACATAGTGTTCCACTAGACTGGGGTTCAGAAGTGACAGCAATGTCCTGAAATAAAAGGTCTCTTTGATGGTAGCTTTGTCTAATGATCAACAGTTACTTCATATGCTTTGAGGTGTGTCTCTTGAGTTCCATCTTCACAGGACAGAGCCCAACCTTGAGGATCAAATTCAAAGGGACAAAAGTCATGAAACAATGCCTGCATTATGGCTTCTGGGAAGACTGAAGTCTTCTACATACTTTCTCAACAACGTATGTAACTTAAGCTAAGTTTAACTATCTTGCTTAGCTAGAATACTCCAAGATTTGAGTATTTCTTCAAAGTGTTTCAGCCTTTTGGCTTTGTGTTCTTTGATGTAGGTATGTTTCAGTTTCTGCTGGAGCAAAATACCAAAATGTGAAATCTACTAAATATCCAAGCCAACAAATATCTATTTTCTTACATATGTTTCTAAAGATAGAAGTTACATGTATTTATCTTATCAGGGTCTACCTGAGTCATTAAAAAGTTTCAACATGTACAGTAACTTAGCAACAATGATGATGACATAATCCCCACTGTCAGACAGCATGCCAGGCGTTCTACAGTGGTGTTCAGACCACCTGACTGTTCCTGTCCCAGAGATGAGAAAACTGAGGGCTGAGGGGAAGCATGGCTACTTGGTCACAATAAGCCAGATGCAAACAGGAAAGTTTGTGCAGGAAATGCCATAGTCATTTCCAGAGCCTGCGCACCTAACTCCAAACCACATGATAACTAAGTCATTGTGGTGGTGGTGCGTTAAGGATGAGGATGACATGATGACAAGGCAATGGGGTGTTACAGGCAGCTGGAGCAAATGAGTCAGTAGAAGAAACACTTAGCCCTGAATCAGAGAAAATGAAAGTGGGAATGGCCCTCAGATTCCAGCCTGAAGTATCCACCACTAACCCGTACAACCAGCTAGTAGATGATGGAGAAGTAATACTCTATTCGCTCCAAACCACAGCCCCATC